GTGGCTTTAATAAACAGGGACTTATTTGCATACAGTTTAGGAGCCTAGAAGTCCAAGTTCAAAGTGCCAGCTCTGGGACCTGGATGAAAGCCCTTTGGTCTTGGGCTTCAGCTTTGCCTCTTGCTCAAGCCCCCTGCCTCTTGCTCTTGACCCACTGAAGTTGGAGGCCTCTCTTAACTCAGACAGCTGCTGGCTGCTGAGGCTGATAAACCCAAGGTCAAGAAATAGAATGCCACAGTCTCAAGATTATTAAACAACATGGCAGGCCACTAGTTCAAGACCAGAGACAGTCCCAAGATCGGCAGGCAACATGAAGACTCCTGAATGAAGACTCAGCTACATGCAGGGTCCAAGCATGCCAAAATGCTGCATAGACCTTTCTCAAAGCTTCTTCTTATGTACTGGAAGCAGACAACATCCCTAAGACAACTGTTCAGCTGCTCCAATAGATTCCACCATGGAGTTGATTACCAATCTCATCATAGGGAATAACTACATCCAGCTGCCCAAGCAAGATGACACATAATCTTAATTATTACACAGAGTCTAGCCATTCTCACTTCCAAGGAGCATTCCAGTTGCACTTCTTCCAGGACAGACTATTCATTCTTTTGGCAATCCATAGTATTTTCAGTATTCTTTGCCAACACTACAATTCAAAGGCATCAATTCTTCTTAGGTCTTCCTTATTCATTGTCCAGTTTTCACATGTATATGAGGGTATTGAAAATACCATGGCTTGGGTTAGGCACATCGTAGTCTTCAAAGTGCCATCTTAAATACTTTAAAGAGGTCTTTTTTAGCAGATTTGTCCATGCAATATAACATCTGATTTCTTGACTGCTGCTTTCATGGGTCTTGATTGTAGATCCAGGTAAAGTGAAATCTTTGACAACTTTAATCTTTTCTTCACTTATTGTGATGGTGCTTATTAAGTCCAATTGAATGCATTTTTGCTTTCTTTATGTTGAGGTGTAATCCATACTGGAGACTGTAGCCTTTGATCTTCATCAGTAAGTGCTTCATGTCTTCTGTACTATCAGCAAGTAAGGTTGTGTTATCTGCATATCACAGGTTATTAATGAGTCTTCCTTCAATCCTGATGCCATGTTCTTCTTCATATAGTCCATCTTCTCAGATTATTTGCTCAGCATGCAGATTTAATAAGTATGGTGAAAGGATACAACCCTGACACACACCCTCCCTGATTTTAAACCATGCAGTATTCCCTTGTTCAATTTGAATGACTGCCTCTTGGTTTATGTACAGCTTTCTCATGAGAATAATTAAGTGTTCTGGAATTCCAATTCTTAACAATGTTTTCCATAATCTGTCATTATCCACACAGCCAAATGCCTTTGCATAGTTAATAAAACATAGGTAAGCATTTTTCTGGTATTTGCTTTCAGCCTAGATCCATCTGACATCAGCAGTGAGAGCCCTCATTTCACATTCTCTTCTGAGTCTAGCTTGCATTTCTGGAATTTCTCTGTCAATATACTGCTGCAACTGTTTTTGAATTACCTTCAGCAAAATTTTACTTGTATGTGATATTAATGATATTGTTTGATAATTTCTGCATTCTGTTGGATTGCCTTTCTTTGGAATGGACACAAATATGGATATGGATCTATTCTAGTCATTTGGCCAGGTAACTGTAGTCCAGATTTCCTAGCATAAACAAGTAATTGTCTCTAGCACTAAGTATGTTTGTTGAAACATCTCAAAGGGTAGTCCATCAATTCCTGGGGCTTGTTTTTCACCAGTTCTTTCAGTGCAGCTTGGACTCCTTCCTTCAATATCATTTGTTCTTGATCATATGCTTCCTCCTGAAACAGTTGAATCTCAACAGATTCTTTCTGGCACAGTGACTCTATATATTCCTTCCATCTTCTTTCGATGCTTCCTACATCATTCAGTATTTTGCCCAAAGTCTCTTTCAATATTGAAACTTGAAACTTGAATTTTTTCTTCCGTTCTTTCAGCTTAAGAAATGCTAAACATGTTCTTCCCTTTTGGTTTTCTAACTCCAAGAGTTTGCACATTTCATTATACTTTATTTCATCTTCTCAAACCATCTTTGAAATCTGTTCAGCTCTTTTATTTCATTATTTCTTCCCTACACTTTATTTACTCTCTGTTTAAGAGCAAGTTTCAGAGTCATTTCTGACATCCATTTTGATCTTTTCTTCCTTTCCTGTCTTTTTAATGAACTTTTGCAAATCTGTTCTTCAGATAGTCTCTAAATTCAGGTGGGATATACTCAAAGTCATGTTTTGGTTCTTGCAGACTTGTTTTAACTGTCTTCAGCTTCAGCTGGAACTTTCATATGAGCAATTGATGGTCTCTTTCACAGTCAGATCCTGGCCTTGTTTTGACTGATGATATTGAGATTCTCCATTGCCTCTTTCCACAGATGTAGTCAATTTGATTTCTGTGCATTCCATCTAGTGAGGTCTACGTGTATAGTCACTGCTTGTGTTTTTGAAAATAGATATTTGCAATGAATAAGTCTTTGGTCTTGCAAAATTCTATCATGTGATCTCCAGTGTCATTTCTATCACCAAGGCCATATTTTCCAACTACCTCTTTGTTTCTGACTTTCACATTCTAATCATCAGTAATAATCAGTACATCTTGATTATATGTTTGGTCAATTTCAAACTGCAGAAGTTGGTAGAAATCTTCAATTTCTTCATCTTTCACTTTGGTGGTTGGTGGGTAAGTTTAAATAGTAGTCATATTAACTGGTCTTTCTTGTAGGTGTATAGATGTTATAGCATTGTACTTCAGGGTAGATCTTGAAATTTTCTTTTTGACAGTGAATGTGGTGCTATTCCCTGTTAATTTGTCATTCCAGGCATAGTAGACTATATGAATATCTGATTCAACCCGGCCAATACCAGTCTATTTTAGCTAACACATAGGATATTGATCTTTATGCATTTCATTTCATTTTTGACAGCTTCCAGTTTTCCTAGATTCATACTTTGTACATTCCATGTTCCAGTTATTAATGAATGTTTGCAGCTGTTTCTTTCCATTTTGAGTTGTGTCCCATCAGCAAATGAAGGTCCCTTAATGATGTCATTAAGGTCCACTCTACTTGGAGGATGAAGCTCTTCCCCAGTCATATTCTGGGTGCCTTCCAACCTGAAAAGCTCATCTTCTGGCACTATATCAGACAATATTTTACTGTTCTTCATAAAGATTTCTAGTAATATATCAAACATGCTATTCACAAGGTTTTCAGTGGCCAAATTTTTTAGAAGTCAGTGCCCCCATCCTTCTTCCTAGTCTGTCTTAGTCTGGAAGCTCTGTTGAAACCTGTCCACCATTAGTAACCCTGCCAGTATTTGAAATAACTGATGACATAGCTTCCAACCTTACAGCAACATGTAAGCCACTGTGGTACAACAAACTGACAGATGAGTGGTAGTCTCTTAGGTTTATTATAATCATCTTATTGTCTGCATATACAGAGAATGATAGGAGCTCTAGTAGCATAGCGCCTAAGTCACTTGATTGCTAACCAGAAGGTTGGCAGTTCAAACCCACCCGCCACTCCTCAGAAGGAAGATGGGGCAATCTACTTCCGGAGTGATGCTGCCTCAGCAACCCAAGGAGGGGTCGCTATGAGTCGGGTCCGCCTCGACGGCACATAACAACAACAACAACAACACAGAGAATGATGCTGGCAAACCCCAAACAGCCACTCAGTAACACCCTCTGCTGTTTACACCCACCATGCATGTATGGTTCTCTGAATTGACACATCTACTTCTCAATCCTTTTACCTCAGGTGTGCTGGGGAGAGAGCAAGTATTCATCAGAAAAACTTTTCTTTTTTTGATGACCATGACATTTTCTAGTATCCAATTGGTACCAGCTTTCTTTTAAAAGAAAAAATAATAAGGTCATTAATTACTTTGAAAGTACTTTTGTTTAGTCCCTCACCAGAAGATGCAGACTTTCTGGAATCTTCTTCCACATTGCCCCTTCTATTGTGGAGTTTATAAATTCATTTCCTTTTGTACTGTCTGAGGTAAAAAGAAATGACCATTTTTATTATGTCTCCCTGTTCTGGTTACCTACTGATGCTCTGACAAGAGTATTACCACAACTGGGATAGCCTTAACAAACAGGAGTTTATTCTTATAATTTGGAGGCTTTAAGTCCAAGTTCAAAGTGCCAGGCTGTAGGGGCTGGGTGAAAGTCCCTCAACCTTGGGGTCCAGCTCTGCCTCCTGCTCCCGGCCCACTGGAGCTAGAAGCATTAATTCACTCAGACAGCTGCTGGCTGCTGAGGCTGACAAACCCAAGATTGACAAATAAAAAGGCACAGTTCCGATGTTACCAACTCACACAGCAAGCCATTACTTCAAGTCCATTGCAAGTCCCAAGTTTGGCAGAGCATGGCAGGCTGCTGAACAACAACACAGCTACATGCAGAGTCTAAGCGTGCCATAAACTAGAAACCATTCCCAAGGCTTCTCCTTATATATAGGAAGCAGACCACATCCCAAAGGCAGCTACTCAGCTGCTTGTGGTAGATACCACCATGGAGTTGATTGCCAGTCTCATCATGGGGAATAACTACCACCAGCTGCCCAGCCACTCAACCAGGCCCAGCCAAGTTGACACACGGCATAACTACCACACTCCCTATGTAATTTTATTTATTTATTTATTTAAACTGTGATTTGGATGAAGGTTTACAGAGTGTAATTGGTTTTCCATTTACCAATCCATATACATTCTGTTTTGTGACATTTTCTGCCATCTCCACACTATAACAGCATTCTTTCCGCTTCCTCACTACACCTACCACTTCACTTCATTATTCCTTTTCTTCCCCTCCCACCTTCCTAGGTCTGTTCCTGGGTAAATGCTGTCCTCTTGATCTCATACTTGATTATTCTAATGAGTGTTCCAATACAGTATTTTTAAAGCATACAAAGGACCCCAGTGTAATTTTCTCCCCATTGTCCTTCCATCCAGGTTCCCTGATCAATGCATACTGCTCCTCCCAACAAGTACTGTGCCAGATTGTGGGTGACCTTAACCCCGAGGTGCCCAACAATATCACCTTTCACAGCTGGCAGGAGAGAGTCAGGCAGAACTATGGCTTCTACATCGGTCTGGGCCTGGCCTTGCTGTCCTGCTTCCTGATTGGCAGTAGTGTCATCCTCAAGAAGAAAGGCCTCTTGCGGCTGGTGGCCACAGGGGCCACTCGAGCAGGTAAGCTCCTGAGAGTGGGCAGGAATGGGGCACAGGGCAGCTGAACTCACATCCAGCTTCCTTTCACAAGGGCTGGGGAAAAAGTTTGAGGACCAAGCCTCAGATATGTCCACAGGGCTCATTGTCAGCCACCAACAGGAGACCTTCCTTTATGAAATATTGTTCAACATTTCCAATATTTCATGATGTGCTAATTGAGATGAAGATAGAGAAAGTTTACAGAACAAAGACAAAGAAACTCCAGGTCTAATCCTAATTTTACTTCTTCCCAGCTATGTCACCATTGGCAAGTCACAGCTTTTATGGAGAATGAGAATACAAAACCTCCGCTATAATACTGTCAGACACTAGTGTGTACTCAATTACTACCAAATAGAGCTCTCCTGTGGGCTACAAAAGAGTTAAGTCTCTGTCTACAAGGGACTTTCTTGTTTGGGAAATAAAGTGTGCATCCATGAAACAATTCTTGAGCAGGAGCATTATGTACAAGAGATGATTCAATCAACATTTATTGTGTGCCTGCTATGTGCCAGTACCATGTGAGACATGGGGGTTCAGTGTCCTTATGGAATGTTGAATTGAGTGAAAGAGACAGAGAAGTATATAGGCAGCTGTTCTTTAGTGGGTTAAGTGTTATCATGGAGGAAGTAAGGAATACTATGGGAACATCTTGGAGGGACAAATATAGCTTAGGCTTGGGGGATTAGAGGGGTTTTCTGTAAGAAGTGATCTCTAAGTTGAGATCTAAATGGTGAGGAGATAGCAAGGTGAAGAAGAAAGGAGGAAGATGTAGTATTCCAGGCAGAAGAGCAACATGTGCAAAGGCTCAAAGGTGAGAACATAAATGATACAAGAAACTGAAAATTGTACAGGATGGCTGAAGCATAGACATGAAAGATGAGGTAGGGGACAGATCATGAAGAGTATTGTAAATTATGCCTCAGAGGTTGAGTGCAATTATAAATAATTGAAAGGTTTTAGGCAGGGGAGTGACAGTCTGATTTAAGATTTGAAGGCCACTGGGTAGAGAATGGATTGAGGGACAAGGAAAGGGACGACAGAACCTGAAATTGGAAAATGACAATGGGAATGGAGGGAAGTCGTGGATTCCATAAACAGTTTGAAGATAGGTTTGCTGTTGACCAGCTCCAAGGAGAGGATAAAAAGAAAGGAGTCAAGGATGACTCAGGTTTCTGACTTGAGCAATGTAAATGATGATGCTGTTTTCTGAGATGAAGAATGCAGGAGGAGCAGGTTTATAGGAAGATAGGAAGTTGATGCATTCAAGTTTGGACACGTACATTTGAAGTGTTTGTAGGCTATCAGGATTTGGAATCAGACTGTCTGACAATTTTGGCTTCTCAATTCCTGTTGATTTGATCCTGGGCAAGAAAAGTATTCTTTCTGTGCCTCAGTATCCTTGTCTATAAAATGAGGATGAGAACAGTACCATTCTCAAGGGATGTAGAGAAAACATGTTTAGAAAGTCGCTTGGCATAAAGTAAGTAGTAGTATTTGTATTACTGCTATGTGAAGGGCTTAGCAGACACTTGGATACCTAGATCTAGAGCTTAGGTGTGCTCTAAGATGATGAGATGGGACATTCAGGATTGAAGGTGGGCAACAATGGTTATTGTTGTTCTGTCCCCTTCATGTCTGGGTAAGTGTTCAAAAGTCCAGAGACCTCCCAAGTTACCATGAAAATGCCTGTTCATGCCCAGGAAGTCATCCCCTAGCAGGGGACTTAACAGAAGTATTATTCACCACCCAGAAAGACCACTTCCCTGGAATCAGCTCCTTTCCTCCAATCTGCTATTTCAGTGTCTTTTGAGATTTGAACTCTTAAATTTTTTCACAGTTCTTAACTTTTATGAGCGTTCTCAAAAAGTAACATAATTTTTTGATGTTCATGGAACTGTCTAAAACCCACCCATCATCATCATCATAGCTAACACTTATTTTTAACATTGACCATGTGCCTCTCTCTGAGTCCATCATGTGGACAAAACAGTCCCTGGCTTCCTGGAGGTTCAATTTTAGTAAGAGAAATGCCAGGAAATAAATGCTGAACTCAAATTATAATTGGAGGTTTGAGTCCATTCAGAGACACCTTGAAAGAAAGGCCTGGCAATCTACTTCTAAAAAGCCAACTATGAAGCACAGCTCTGCTCTGACACCCATGGGGTCACCCTGAGCCACCATTGACTTGAATGCAGCTGTATTTATTTAGTTTTTCAAAGTGCAATGAAGGAGATGAGCTGAGTGTTTTGACAGATACCTAAGGGGAAGTAATAGAGATAAAGGGGCAGGGAGAGCATCGTAAGGGTAAATAGCATTCAAGCAGAGACCTATAGGTTTCAGGAAAATAAGAAGCTCTGTTTAGGGAGCTCTGGTGGTGTAGTGTCTAAGGCATTTGACTGCTAAGCAGAAGGCTGGCAGTTCAAACCCACCAGCCACTCCCCAGAAGGAAGATTGGACAATCTACTTCCATAGAGATACCACCTCAGAAACCCAAGGAAGGCTCTCTATGAGTTGGATCCTGACATGACAGCAGTGAATGAGTGAGTATGTTAAAAAGAATATTTCACACACAGGAAAAGCAGTGTACGAAGGCCTTGAAGCATAAAGGAGCTAATCACGTTTGAAGAACTAAACAAAATCTGAGAAACTGGACAGTAGTAAGAGAAGAGTAGCACAAAGTAAGTTTGGAGAGGTTGAAAGATTGTGTTAGGGATTCTGGTCTTTATCTTAAGAGCAGTTGGAAGCCATTGATTGGCCAGCTATAAACTGAGCATGATCTGATTTACATTCTTTCAAGACCACTAGCTGCAATGAGAGGGAAGATTACAAAAGGACAAAACCCCAACCCAAACCAAATTCACTGCCATCTAGTCAATTCTGACTCATAGTGACCCCCTTTGGGTTTCCGAGGCAGTAAATCTTTACAGAAGTAGATTGCCCAGTCTTCCTTTCACAGAGTGGCTGGTGGGTTTGAACTGCCAGCCTTCTGCTTAGCAGTCAAGTGCCTTAGGCACTCTACTACCAGAGCTCCCATTCAAGGGTTAGATGAGGAATATTTAAAATCAAGAGTTACACCCCCAAGACTATGGCCCTAAGTCACCCTTCAGGCCTGGATTTGAACTCACTCCAGTGGCTTAACTCTCAGCCAAACAATAGGTTGGCCTACGAGTTGAACAACTGCACCAGGGAGATGCACTCCTTTGAACAATCAACCATGGGAGATCAGAAGGGCAGTATTTGCACAGAGTGAACCTGCATAGGCAAGAAGGACACAGAGAAAGGGTAACTACAGGGAGGAAGTGAGAGATAAATGTGGGGAATGTAATGAATGTCATAAAATATGTATGAACTGTTGAATGTAAAATGAATCTGCTTTGTAAAATTTCACCGAATCATAATAAAAAGTTAAATACATAAAATAAAATAAAGAGTTCCATTTAGGACTGAGTTTGAGATACTTGAGAGAGATCCAAGAGATGTCAAGTGGGCAGTTGGATATATGCACAGCTGGGCTTAGAAACAAGGTACAAGCTACAGATAAGAAACAGGGCACAGACATATAGATAGTATTGAAAACCTTGTGAATGGATGAACTCACCCAAGAGAGGGCCTGGAACCAAGCCCCAGGCATGTTAAGAGATTATGGAATGATGGTAGAGTTAGGAAAAGTACCTGAGAAAGAAAGTGGCCAAATTCTAACTTTGTGTCCATTCCCTTCCACAGTGGACGGAGGTTATGGCTACCTGAAGGATGGAATGTGGTGGGCTGGATTTCTCACCAGTAAGTAGGTTCTTTGCTACTAATGACAGCAATCTATTAATACCAAGAGTGGAGATGAAGAGAAGGAGAGATGAGACATTTCTGCCCTTACTGTGCAAAGTATGAATCTGAGATCCAGATTTGTAGGAAAACACCTTGATAATCTTTGTGGGTAGAACATCCTACCCTCATCTCAGATCACTTTCTCTACCCAGAGTGGTCTTTGATCAGTGAAGCACCTATTCCAGAAACATTTATACAGCTGCTGATAAAGGCATATTTCTTCTTAACTTTCCTTAAACACAGGGAGATAATCTTGCTGCCTTGTTGGAGTCTCTTGGATTTCTAAGTAACATGGACAAGGCTGAAACTCAGCTTCCCTAATCATAGTCAATTTGCTGGCCTATTTAGAAGATAGATAGTCTGCCACCTAAGATTTGCCCAAATGTGCATTTTCTTTACTTTCTATACACCCTTTCTGGCTTTCAAATCCTAATTTTTTTTTTTTTTAATTGTGATTTGGGTGAAGATTTACAGAGCAAATTCACTTTCCATACAGCAGTTCACATATACTTTGTCTCATGTCA